GTCATGGAATGTTGAATATACTCCATGTGCACTATAATTCAAAGGCATTAATTTGTTTTCAGTCTCTTTTATTCATTGTCCAGCTTTTTCATGTATATGAGCAACTGAAAAGAACATGGCTCGGGCTAAGCATACCTCAGTCATCAAAGTAGCATCTTTGCATTCTAAAACTTAAAGAGATCTTTTATGGCAGACTTGCCCCGTGCAAGACGTTCTTTAATGTCATGGCCCCTGCTCCCAGGGCCATGGGTGGTTGATTCAAGTAGAATGAGATTCCTGGCAACATCCATGTTTGGTCCTTTTACCATGATGTTCCTTATTGGACTTCCGTTTTCCTTATGCTGAGCTGCAATCCACACTGCAGGCTGTCATCCTCGATCAGCCTCGGTTTCACAAGTCCTCTGCATTTTCAGAAAGCAGGTCTGTGTCGTTTATATGCTGCTGGTTGTTCCCGAGTCTTCCTCCAATCCGCATGCTGTTCATATTGTTCAGTTTCTTGAATTATTTACTCAGCATACAGAGTAAATAAGAGTGAAAGGATACAACTAAACCCAAATATTTCCTGCTTCTTGGTCTCGGTGAGGTTGCGTAAGAACACAATTAAAATGTTTTGGAATTTCCATTCTTCACAATGTTACCAATAATTTTTTATGATTCACATAATTGAACACTTTTGGAAAATCAGTGAAACACAGGGGAACACCTTTCTGTTATTCTCTGTTTCTACCACGATCCATCTGACATTCAGAGTGATAGCCTTAGTTCCACATCCTCTTAGGGATCCACCTTGACTTTCTGGCACTTCTTTGTTGATCGACTGTGGCAACTTGGAAAAAAATAGTTTCAGCATTTTTTTTTTCAGTATAAAATTTAATTGCATTTTATATTAAAGCCTTAGTTTGATACTTTCTCCATTCTGTTACATGGCTTTTCTTTGAAATGGGCACAAATATGAATCTCTCCCAGTCAGTTGGCTTGTTAAGTGTCCTCCTGATTTCTTGGCACAAATGAGTGGGCATCGCCTGCCTTGCACGCGTTTGTTGAAACATCTCAGCCAGCATTCTGTCAATCCCTCCAGCTTGTTTTGTGACAATGCCTTCAGTGCAGCTTGGATTTCTTAATATCATCAGTTTTGATCGTAGGCTACACCTCTTGAAATGGCTCAATGTTGACCAATTCCTTTAGGGACACGGAATCTGTATTCCTTACATAGTCTTTTTATGCTTTCTGAACAATTCAATATTTTGCTCATCTCATTCAATATTGCAAGTCAATGCTTGAGTTTTTCTTCAGTTCTTTTAGCCTGGGAAGTACTGAGGATAATCTTCCTTTTAGGTTTTTGAACCCCAGGCCGTTGTATGTGTCTCTATAATATGCTGTCTTTTCAAACTATCTTTGGATCCTCTAATTAGTGTGTTTACTTCATCGGTTCTTCCTTTCCCACCAGCTCCTCTGAACTCCAGAGTCAGGTTCAAATTCTCTTCTGACTTCCATTTTGAACTTCGCTGTCTTTCTTGACTTTTTTAAAATTTTTAAACATTTTATTAGGGGCTCATACAACTGTTATTGCAATCCACACACGCATCAATTGTGTAAAGAGCATTTGTACATCATTCTCAAAACATTTTCTCTCCACTTAAACCCCCGACATTAGGTCCTCATTTTTCCCCTCCCTCCGAACTTCCCCCTCCCTCATGAGCCCTTGATAGTTTATAAATTGTTATTTTGTCATATCTTGCCCTGTCCGACGTCTCCCTTCACCCACTTTTCAGTTGTCTGTCCCCCAGGGAGGAGGTCACACACAGTTCCTTGTAATCAGTTCCCTCTTTCCTACCCATTCTCCCTTTACCCTCCCTGTTTCGCTACTCGCACCACTGGTCCTGTAGGGCTCATCTGCCCTGGATTCCCTGTATCTTCAGCTCCTATCTGTACCAGTGTACATCCTCTGGTCTAGCCAGACTTGCAAGGTCGAATTCGAGTCATGGTAGTGGGAGCGGGGAGGAAACATTTAGGAACTAGAGGAAAGTTGTATTTCTCATCGTTGTTACATCGCACCCTGACTGGCTCATCTCCGTTTGCTTTCTTCCTTGATGGTGCTCCTGATGCCATCCTCCATCTCAACTGGTCTCCAGCCAGTAGTGCTCAGTCAACCAAACTTTTCTTATGATGGCCTCTAGAAGCCGGTGGAGTCTATTTGAAGTCTTGTTTTGGCCCCCGTGGACATAATTTTCTTCAGATTCAACTGGAACTTACATATAAGTAATTGATGGTCTGGTCTGCACTTGGCCCCTGGCCTTGTTCTGACTGGTGCTATTGAGTTTCTCCATCATCTGTTTACAAAGATGTAATTTGATTCCCCTGTATTCCATTTGGCAAGGCCAGCTCTATAGCTATGGTTTATGCTGTATTTGTAATGCATAAGTTGCTAGTTTCATAAAATTCTATCATGTGGTCTCAGACATCCTTTCTATTAGCAAGGCTATATTTTCCTATTGCTGATCCTACTCTGTTTCAAACTTTTAAAATTCCAACCACTAGTAATTATTTATGCATCTTGATGACAGGTTTGATCAATTTCAGACCGTAACAAATAAACAAACAGACAGATAGACAGACAACCCTGAAACACACAGCCATCCAGTCTCTTTGTACTCACAGTGACCCATTTTCTCACCACCATTAAAACAACTCCTGTGGGTTTCCAAGGCTGGGAATCTTTACCAGATCAAAAAGGCTCATCTTTCTCCCACAGAGAAGTTGGTGGGTTTGAATTCTTGACCTGTGCTCAGCAACCCAACTTTTAACCCATCATGCCACAAGGACACTGCAGAAGTTGGCAAAATCTTTCATTTCTTCTTTGGCAGTAGTGAGTGTGCAAGTTTGAGTAATAGTAGGGTTAACTCCTTTGGCTTGTAGGCATCTGGATATCATCCTATTACTGTCAACACTGTACATCTGCACACACTTGAGATGTTCTTATCGATGACGAATGCCGGGCCAGGCCACTTTATCATTCCTGGCATAGTGGACCACCTGATTGTCTGATTCCAAATGACCTTTTGATACAGCGATAGGCTGGTATCGATCTTATGGTGCTTCTTTTTTATTTGAAGAATTCCAATGTCCTAAATTCATATTTCATACATGACATGTTCCTTTTACTAATGGAGGTTTGGGCTATTTCTTGTGTTCCGCTGCAGCAGCAAATGAGGACCTTTGGAGCTTTACTCCATCCATGTCATTAAAGTCCACTCTACTCTGAGGACCGAACTGCTCTCCGCTGTATTTCGAGTGCTGTCCAATCCGAGGAGTGCATGGTCTGGCATTATTTCAGATAGTTTCCACTTTATGTATAATGTTTAACTAGGTTTTTCTTTTCTTTCCTTTTTAAAAAGTAGTTCACCAGGTCCTTTACCCTAGTCCATCTTATTCTGGAAACTCTGCTCAACCTTGTCCACCTTGCTTGACCCTGCTGGTATTCTCAATACTGGTTGCGTAGCTTTCAGTGTCATGTTAACACCCAAACAATTAGTGTGTAGCCGGTGACAGACGAGTGAACACCTTCCACATCCTCCTAGCATCCATGCCTTTTTTGGCCTCTTCTCCCTCTGTTGCTCCCGGTGAAGAGAGCCTTCCTTGCTGTTCCATCGTTGACTGCTTGCAGCTTCTAGAATCCCAGACACTCCACAGCAAATGAGGAGGTAGAACAGAGGCACCCAACATGCTAGTAGGCCGATTAACTGGTATGCATTGTAAAACAATGGCCCTACGCCTCCAAACGAATGAACCAAATCCCATGATGGTATTCAGTTGCACTTCAGCTGCCTCAGCAGCTACTCCCCCTCCCTCTGTTTTAAACATATCTATCCCATAACTTATGGCATTTCAGCTTTTTACAGGTGCACATCTTATTGACAGCAATTATGATAAGGAGCCTTGCAAATCCATCCTTTATTAGTGCATTTTTCTATCATTTTTAGCCCTGATTTAGTTCTCCCCTTCTCCCTGGACCCACCAACAAACCTTGAGCCCACCAGCTGTTCCTTGGGAGAAAGATGAGACTTTCTGTTCCAAAGATTTCTGTTTCCAAAGATTTACATCCTTGGAAACTGCCCACAAGGGCAGTTCTATGCTGACAAATTAGGTCACTATGAGTCCAAATTGACATGCTAGCAGTGAGTGACCATATAAGCACGACCCAGCAATTCCAATCCTAGGTATTTACCCAAAAGACTTGAACATGGAGGCTGAAAAAGGAGCAGCTTTATAATACAATTGGTTTCTTGGGATATTGAGTAGGTCTTTGGAAATGTGAAATGTTACATAAATACGTATTGAATATAGGAATAAAACATAAAGAAGAAGAAGTTAGACAGGCAGAAAACCTAGAGTCAATAACTAATTGGTATTCCAGTGGCAGTTACCTTATATACTTGTGTAAAAGCTGAGTTTCTCAGCACATGTTTAATGCAGTTTTTGTGGTAAAATTAGGTGCATTGGCGGATATTTGGGTCGGCTTATACTCGAGTATATATGGTACAAAGAGCCTTGGAAGATAACACTTCTCAGCCTTTTGGCTAAGATCAAGTGAAAGTTGGAAGAACCAACAGGCTAAGTAAACTCATTAAGCTCAGCCATGCCGTACCTCGGTGCGAAAGAACTGAGCTCTTGACTTGCAATGAAAATCTTTCCTCCAGAAGACTTATGCTCAGTACTGGATAGCAGAGTTATTCACCTGCTATTAAGTAGCCTTCATTGTCATTTATTATCCTGTTCTGTTTTTCTATCTGTGATGTCTTTGTAGATACCAGACAACTTTGTTGACTGACAGCATAGAGAACTGTCAGTCGGAAACTGTATCACCAGCTACTGAAAAAGATTTACCTTCCTCAAAGTCCTGAATGAAGTTTACCCTTGAAACCAGATGCATAAAGAGTATATAAGTATAAAGAGCTAGTAACCACATGTTTTACATTTAAACTTTGGAAATAGAAAATTACCTTTCTCTCCTTCACTTTCGAATGATAATTTCCTTCTTTTTAGTTTACAGTTTTCTCCATCGGAGTCATTCATGGATTGTGATCTCAGTAAGAGATCCGCCTTTGTTAACGGAACATGAAAATGAAATGGAAGATTACTCAATTTTCACATAAGGTATTATTAGTAAACTCTTCACTATTTCATTTCAACCACTTTGAGACTTAATTATTAGAGTGCTGGCAAATAGCTAGCATCCTTTACTTAATACTTGTCTCTAAATTTAAAAATAAACTGATAGAATAATTCTGGTAGTTTTCCCGTCTGAGGAGAAATCACAGTTCATGATCAGAAATGTCTGAGGATGCTGCATTTAGAGACAAACTATCCCTTTATGTGAAATGGGCTTTTTATAATATGTAAATGAAAAATACATCACAGGTATGCATTGAGATTTTAAAGGAGGTAGCAGCTCTCTTTGGACATTTTCCTCTTTCTCCTGAGGAATGACTGGTGAGTTCAAACCACTGATCTTTTGGTTAGCAGATCAGCACACAGCCCACCATGCCCCTGGGGCTCCTGAACTACACTGGTGGCAGAGAATATTGAAAGTACCATGATTGCCAAAACAACAACCAATTATATTCCTGATGAAGTACAGCCAGAATGGTCCTTATAGTCAAGGATGGCAAGACGTTGGCTTACACAGTCTGCACGTGCTATCAGGAAAGACCAGTCCCTGGAGATGGACGAAGTAGAGGAGAGCGGAAAGGAGGAAGGCCCTGGAGAAGGACTCACACAATGGGCTCAAACAGCCTGGGGCAGTGTTTCACTCTGTTGAACACAAGGTTGCTGGGAGGCTGAACTGGGTCAAAGGCACACAACAACAACAACAGCTCTCCTTTTGCTTATTAGTTGCCCCTAGTCTTTTCTAAAGACTCCAGACTCAAGCTTTGGCAGGAGTGGACCAGAAGCGCCATACAGGCAGGTGAGTCAGAGAACATGGCTCTGGGTGTTATTAAGTGGGCAGGTGGTGGGTGCAGCTCTGCTCCTCTGGGCATGCCTCTCCTCTGTTCACGCCCACACTCTCACTGCTGCTGCCAATGCTCATGCCTCTGACCTCCATGCGCAACTCCAGGCGGAGTGGTGATGAGGGTGACTGGAAGTGAGGTCCCACACTTGAATGTGGGGCTTACACAACAGCCAAATCACATAATGCCCCAGTCAGAATGGATAGTGGATGTTAAAAAATACATACCTGTAATTAAAAAATTCATAAACAAATCTTTGCAGAATCTGTATTACCTCAGAGACAAATGTGCAAACCAATTAACTATGATGTTTAAATTACATAGTAATGGTGCTAAGATTAAATTTCACAATCAATATTAGGTTTAATTAGATAAATACTCTGCTTTGAACCTCTTATTATTTGTTGCTTCGAGTTCCTCCTCTTCCCCATATGGTTCATTCTGTATTATATTATTCATCCTGTAAATAGTGGAGCCACTTCTTTAGTTCATTTGGGTGATGCTTAACTATTTATGTAAAGAAATAACCAAAGGAGGATGTTTATTGGTTTTTCATTGCAAAAGCAAAATGAGATTGGTGACATTAAATTGGGATTTGATAAAGCACTAAATTAAAACTATTATTTAAAAATAGCTGATAACATCTACCTTTCATGGCTGATAACATTAACCTTTTACTTCTCAAATATTTTTAACTTTCCAGTGTTTGAAAAGAAACACTTGTTCCTTGTGATGTTAAATGTTGCCCTGCTGATCTTCAAAGTTTCTTCTTCTTTTTAATACATCCACAATACCTGGGAACAATAGCAGCTTCAGGGAGAATGGGATCTACTTTTTACCTACCTGTTGATTTGAGGATCTGTATTTCAGAGAGGATATTAATTAACATTAAAACACACTGACAAGGTATACCATCCAATAATAAAACATATTTAGCATTAGAGTGTGGTTGGAGGATTGCGGCAAAAGGGCATGGAAGAACAACCTAGTGAAAAAGTGTGGGTGCTAGCATAAAGTCTATGTCACACAGTCCCAGAATAGTAGTAGCCCAGGAGTGGCCATTGTCACAATATAAGAGAGTGAAAAGCATAGAGGCTCTCATACAAGTTAATTTCCATTTTGAATTGATTTGAAATATTCTTTCTATTAGAACATACATTATTCATTCTGCAGTACTAAATTTGAATCTTCTTCAAAATATGATTCATTTATACTTTTGAGATTTAGAGATGTTAAATATGAACCTAAATTTGAATGAGGTTAGTTTTTTCCATTATTACTGTGAAGACATTGCTAACCAATATATGGTGTACATAAAACCCGAGAGAGTATGTCTCAACCTTGATCAGTATATGGTAAAGTCTTAAGTGATTTTCAGTACCCTAGGATCACTTATTTCTTACAAATAATTGGTATACTTTATATACACCAACATTACTTTCAACCAACAATGTCTTCTAGGAATTCCTACGATGTCACTTTTAATTGACCTATTTAAAGTTATTCAGTAGATGTGTTTGAAAACAATTAGGTAGTATTCTTTAAGAAGTACTACATAATCTATAAATTTCACTATTAACATGGTCCCCTACCCCCAATAGTCAAAACCAGTATAATTTTGTGGCAATATTTCAATTGCGCTTTCAGAAAACTTTGGATGACCAAAGAATAGTATATCACACCAGAAATAAACAAACAAAAAATAGTTAACATGTACCTTTGCGCTCTCGTGTCTGAGGTTGAAAGTTAATTCTAGGTTTGTTAGAAAATGATCAGAAAACTCAGGGTACATATCTAAAACCTCCAACAAGTCTTCTCTCTGGATCTTATGCAAGTCACAGTATGTGAGAGCTCGTACATCTGCATTAGACTTTCCAGGTTTGGCATAAAGATGAACCATTTCTCCAAATATATCATTTTTCCCTAAAAGAAAAAAAAGGAGGAGTGGGTAAAGGAATTAATATTTATTTTCTACAAGAAGGGCCAGTCCTTGAGAACCTATGATTCAATATGTAAGACCATATGGCTAATAGACAGTTAGGAATCAAAGTTCCAGTACTCGCTGTCCAGCACATACTATTTGCTGAGTGGAATTTTACCTCTTCTTTTCAGTGATTCTGTTATAATCCCTATTCGTTTCCTTGTTTCAGTCCACAGTGTGGTAAATATATCTTCATTCTAGTGCACCTGACCTTGCCAGTCAAGTGTATTGCCATTGAGTATTTAAAAAATACTTTTAGGTTGGGGCCATCTAATTTTATTAAAGCAGGTCTATGAGAAAAGCTACAGTGAGTCAGACTCATAACCTGCCTACTTCGTCAGGGTCTCTGAAGAGAACGTACCCGAGGGATTATGGTGGAGCACTGTCAAGCTTGGATAACTGGTCTTCGAAGCCCAACAGTACAATCAGAACTCTTTAGTCCCTTTAGTAACAACATGTAGATTTCCGTTAATGTAGTTGTCCACTTGTTTCCATTGTTTAATGCATACAGCTAGGCAGTCTCAACATACATGATCATGGCGTCTTCTCACATGGCTTTTGTCACCTCCCTTGTGTTCCCTCCCACCCTGGAGTTGCTTCAGTGTCTGACTCATGAAGAGACCTTTCCATCCTCTGCCTCGCCTTGTGTCTCCTGATTTTCATGGTCTGTCCCCTGATGATAATGAGAGCAACAATACTGAATGTTTACTGAGAGCACCAATTCAGTGTTGATGCTTATGTGCATTATCTCATTAAATCCCCGCCCCCCCCAAAAAGTATGAAAGAACTACTCATTGTTATCCATATTTTATGAATATGGAAAGAGAATAACAGGTAAACTGATTATCACTCTTTCTAGTTGGGTGAAGTGGAGAAAGATCATTAGGATTCGATGCCATGTTTTCTGACTTCAGAGCCAAAGTTCTGATATGCTTAAACTTCTCTCACTATTTTCTCCAAAATGCATTTTGATCACTTCGATGTATTTTTTTTTCTGACAATTATAAATTGTACCTATGCTCTATATGCTTAGTAAATAATGATCAATTACATGATTATAAAAGCCTTTAGAGATTCTTGGTGGTCGGGCAAATCAATGTTTTCTCATGAAGTTTTTTTTCAGACCTAGAAAACACCCCATATCTCTGGCCCCTGGATCTGTTATTTTAGCTTTTGGTTGACAATTTCATCTACCTTCTACTGTGTATAAAGCCTTTTAAATAATACAATTTTCATTAGTTAAAGAACATACCTACTTAACATCTTGAATATTTTTATTTTAACTGATAATTTTGTGAGGAGAACTCCAATGTCATTTTATACTCAGAAAAACTGACACGAGAAAGAAGACATTAACTTTAGGTTGAATGAATATTTACTAGCCTCCCCAAATCAAATAAATGACCATAAATTGTGAGGATTTTAAGTGCCGACTTACATGAAAAAAAGAGGTAAAAAAGGAAAACTTCCTAAAATGCTTTATAGTGTTGACACTTCAGAATACTATGATCAAAGAAAAGGCTCTCAACTAAATTCAGCGCGGACTTGGTATTTTAATTAACTTACCTAACTGTAAATGAGCAAGGAGTAAGCCAGTAGGTGCACACAGCTTCATCACACCCTGAAATGACTATTTTATAAAGCAAGAAGACTTGCTACCTCCTTGCGGAAGGTAGTGCTGGCTGATTTGAAAAACAGAAATGCAATGATACGAGCTCCTTCCCTGGCAACATACCAGAGAAAATCTAATGAAAACTCAACTGATGTGCTTATTGGATTGGAAGAAAAATTCTACATCTTTTTTTACAGCTCATTATTACCATAGAAGTATCCAACGACCTAGGGAATCACTGAGACATTGTTTATGCGTTTGGATCCTGAACAGTGCCAGACTCTGGTTATCTACAACAGTGATGAAAATCGGCAACATCTATTTGTATTTTTGGAAGCAAACATCAAGGGTCTAGTTGAAAAATTGTTAAAATACACTCACTATTTAAATGGAGCTGGAATCCACAGAGGAAAACAAAACAAGATTTTGCAAGTGTGCACAAACTCCGGAAATGGCTGTTCCCGTGGGGAGTGTGGGGTCCAGATCTACTGGCTGAAAAACCCCAACCCCCCACCATGCAGTCAATTCCAACTCACAGCCACCTATGGACTGAGTAGAACTGCCCTTTTGGAGTTCTGAAGTGATGACTCTTTACAGGAGTAGAAATTGCCATCTTTTCCCCACTGAGCAGCTGGCGGTTGGTGGGTTAAACTTGACCTTGCAGTCCACAGTCCAAGGGAACTCACTATGCAACCTGGATTTTATCGTTTACTGGCTAGGTAGCAGCAAAGGAGAATTGACCTCCTTCTCTCTGGCTGTTCTTCATGGTCCTGGCATTTTAAAGAGTTTCTATAAATTAATGAGGCCTGAATATAAATTTTTGTGTTTCTTAAGGGGCAGATTAAACTTAGACTTTATTTTGCACCCCAACCCTATTAATTTATTAACAACTACACCCCTGGGGTCTAGCATCGAGGTGCAGGGTGAAATGATGCTTTTGGTAGGACAGAACGCCATGCATTGAAAATAGCTTAAATCTAGCCAAACAAAAGCCCGAGTCATGCAAGGGCATTGGCATGTGCTTGCAGGAATTCCTCAATCAGACACATTTTATTTCAAAGTATTTAGGGATTACAAATGAATACAAGATCCTCTCTCACAAAAATAGAAAATGTTGTCTATTTTCATCTGTTTGGCTTCAAATGCCGAAGTTGTTGCCAAGAGCTCAGAGGCCTCATGGAAGCGTTTATACACCAGAGAAACAGTGAAGCAGTAAAGACAACACATTTTCTGCAAGGTTAACTTGATTTGAATTGCATTTTAAATAAAACTTTTGAATTACCCTCTTATGCCATCAGTACTCACAAATAGGTCAGTCCTTTCCTGGTCATTTTCCAGACGTTTCCCATCATGCATGCCTTTCCCCAATTAATAGATGCATTTGGTCCCTGGGCAGTTCCAAATACTCACCTAGAATAGCGACCACAATGTCATCCTTGAGGATTTCAATGGAGCCCCTGGACAAGAAGTAAAGTGCAGTGAGGACATCCCCGCAGTGAACCAGGGTGTCTCCCGGAGGTGCATGGGTGGTCTTGAACTTCATTGCTAAAGCTCGAAGGCAACCTTTACTTGCCCCCCGAAAGGCTTTGCAGTTTTGCAGCAAAGTCTGGTTGAGATGTAGACAAATGTCAGCTTGCAAGCATTCTGGGAAACCCTTTAGGACCTGAGGAAAAAAACGAGAAAGAGTTTTATACTACCAGAGCACAGGGCGCCTCCACCAGAAATAAAATATCTTTACGTGCTCACAGAACTGCAGGTGTAATAATTATGTCACACGGGAGTTCTTCCAATGCTTCTACCTCGCCTGCCTTCATGAATACTTGGTTTGCTAAACATGTCAGAATGCTCAACTCAAATACAGCTCTCTGAATTAACTGCAGGCATTCAGACTCAACACAAATGCGGCCTCATTAAAACGCAATGCCTACAACGCTTCACCCTGCTTCTCATTGCCTGTGCTATGTTAGGGAGCATCAGATTGTGCACAGAGAGAGAGAGCAACGTGACAATTAGTAAGACATAACTACTGACAGGTGGTACATTTGGAAAGACAATCAGGCTTTTGAAGGATCCTCAAGTGTCACTTTGGATTGTCATCTCTGACAGACAAATTAAGTATAATTAGTAAAAATGTTGAACCTGAAACAGCCATGATGTTTGTAAATGTCAAATATCAGCGAGTGTGCTTAGATATAACAGTGCTCAGAATATTTATAATTTGGTATGCACATTATTAATATTACATAGAGAATGAAAAGGAGACAGCAAACATGCTTTTGAAGTATAGTTTAGTTCTCAGAAATCATGCTAGAAGTTATAATGCATACATAAAGCTTCTAAGCATGCTTAAGCTTTGACAGTTTTTTCTGTGGTTCCTTTTAAACTTGTGGAGCAGAATAAATGAAACTTTGTGACAAGCACTACTCAATTTAACTGAACGTAAGTTTATACTACTTTATAAATTCTCCAATATGCAATAGGTCAAAGATACTCCATTGTTGCTATGTTGTACGAATACTAGGCATTTTGACAATCCTATGAAGATTTTCATTTTCATGTTGATTCCCCCCCTGAAAATATCAATGTGTACTAAGGCGGATAGTGGGGTTATTATCTAGCAACTGAAAATACAATTTTTAAAATTCTATCTTTTTGTGTTAACGTGACTATTCAATGTAGGTAGATAAAACCATGAACTGCCTCTAGAGGCAAGTCAAATGCATGTAGTCCATAGAGGACCTGCAAATTAGATATCTGAGTTAATGTATAATGATCCTAAAGCTAATGTGTAATTGCTTTAAGTTATCCTAAATATTAAAGAGAGAAACCATGGTGGTGCTTAACAAATCACTCAGATGCTAAGGAGTACATTGACAATTTGAACTCACCCAGCAGCTTCATGGGAGAAAATTCTGCTCCCATAAAAAATGACAACCTATAAAATCCTACGGCCACTTCTACTCTGTCACAGAGCGATTATGAATTGGAATCAACTACATGAAACCTAACGACAAACGTTAAAGCAGCCACGTGGATGCGACTGCTCTAGGATCATTACAGTTAGATTGTGATATTTAAATTCAGTTAAAGGACACCTGATTAAAAGAAACCCGATTCACAACAGACCCTCTTTCCTGGTCTTGTTTGTACACTATTATACGCAGACTCGGTAAAGGGGTATTTTGTCTGAAAAGTCAACCTGAGTTCTCTTCGAGAATTTACCACAGGTTGACTCTTGGGCAAGTCACTTCCCCCATCTGTGTTTCTATCCCCTAGAACAAGAGTACTTCCCTAAGCCTTCTTAATATTGACATTTGTCATAAATAGCCAAGAGTGTTCAAGTTACCAGAAACCACACATCCAGATCTGCACAGCTAGAGAAACTCAAACTTTCATCCTAAAAATTCAGTGTTATCTGGTTCAGGTTCCTAAGAAATAAGCTACGAGTTCCTGGGCACACATCTTCAGCCTCTCGCCGTAACTCTAACTTTAACACTTGGTCTACATGATGGGACTCCTGCCAGCTTTCTTCACTGGACTGATCAACCTCATATTTTGCCAGTTTCTCCCTCTATTGCTTTACCTTTGGGGCCCAGTGGTACTTCCAGCTAAGTATTGAACTGGTATCTGAAAGGTCTACTGGCGCCGTGGAGAAAGATGAGACTATGTGCTCTGTAAAGATTTACTTCCTTGGAAATCCTAGATAGGGTCATTTTGAGTCAGGATCAACTTGATGGCAGTGGAACACCTCTGGGGGCTGGAGGCTGTTCCCATTTGTTGATTTGTTGATATCCTGTATCGAACTGAGGAGTCCTGATGGTGCTGTCTGGTGGCCGTTTGACTGCTAATCATAAGGTTGATGGTTCAAACCCACAACTCCTCCGTTGGAGAAAGATGAGGCTGTTTGTTGTCATAAAGAGAAACCCTCTGTAAGGATTCTGTAAGTAGGCATGAACTCAGTGGCAGTGGGTGTACTGACGCAGATCCCCAGGTAGAACCATCCAGCTAGGTCACTGATGTGATTTACCTATCTAAACCATTGCATCTGGTTCTTTGACAGGTGATTATGCCAGACTGGGAGTTAACTGATATTGGATACTAGTTTTTTTGTTTTGTTTTGTTATGTTTTTAATAAGCCACTTTATTTAGTGAAAATGAGAGGGGGAAAAAGACAAACTGGATGTCATAAAAGACTCTGAAACGTGCTATTGCATGCAGAATGTAGGTTATAAAACTAAGGGATGAACTGATGAAGTAAAAGAGTTGAGCAGATTTCAAAGGGTAGCGTGAGAAGAGAAAGTAAAATGGCATAATGAAATGTATAAAGGCCTGGAATTATAAAACAAAGAGGAATGTACATACTTGGCCTTTCTCAAGTTGAAAGAACTGAGGGAAAGAATTCAAGTCTTGAGTTGCAACAGTGAAGGGTTTTATGAGCAAAAGACTGGAAGCATCAAAAAGAAGACAGGAGGAATACATAATCAATAATCATTGTGCCAAAACTAATCGGTCAGTGTTCAATCTTTCCAGGACCTAGCATATGATCAAGTACTGATGGAATTGAAGGAATATGTGTAATCAATACCTATGGAAACTGCAGTCAAAAATAAAACCATGTATTGCATTGGGAAAATCTGCTGTAAAATATCTCTTTAAAGTGTTAAACAGCAAAGTTATCACTTTGAGGATTAGGTGCACCTGACCCAAATCATGGTATTTTTGTTCACATCATGTAGATAGATAGTTCGGTCAATCGATCCATCGATTGAGAGATAGACAGACAATGAATAATGAGGAGTGAGTGAGGAATTTATTATTTGAACTATGGGGTTGGGGAAGAAGAGTAAATATTATATTGACATGCAGAAGAAGCACAGCCAGAATGCATGTTGGTAAGACTTTATCCTATGCACGTTGGACATGCCTTCAAGAGGAAACAGAGGCTGAAGGCCATCAGGTTTGGTAGAGTAGAGGGACAGCAACACAGGGGAGACACTCAATGAGATGGGTTGACACATGGCTGCAGCTGGAGGCTCAAACAGACGAACAGTTGTGAGAATGGCACCCGATTGGGCAGTGTTTCATTCTGTGGCACACAGATTTGGTGTAAGTGTAACTGACTCGATACAACAAGCTGTCGGACCATATAGGAGACAAACACACCAGTCCCTTGTCCTCTCTGCATGATGTCTGACTTCTGCTCTCCAGTCTGCTATTGTGATCTCCATATAATTCTCAGTTGACTTCATCCAAACAGATTAATAGAGTATTGTATAAAGTACAAATTTGATTCATCCATTTCTTAAAACTTAGCTGCAACGAGGGACTTAAAAAAAAAACCCAACCCAAAACAAAACCTATTGCTCTCAGGCTTATCCTGACTGATAGCAACCCTATTACAGGGCAGATTAGAATGACTTCCTAGAGTTTCCAAGACTCTTATTTCTATGGATCTCCCGTGGTTGAACTTCTGACCTTTGTTTAGCAGGGACATGCTGAGCTTCTTAAGTTACATGAAGATACCATGTAGTGCACTAAAAAGTGGGGGGAGATCTTGCTACCACTACTGTTGTTGGAAAAATGTCTGGTGGTAAAAATGGGCTTAATTTGATTGATGTTATTTTACTTCCAAAAATCCTTAAAATCCATATGGAACACAGTTTTACTCTGACACATATGTATTTACATGAGTCAAAGTCAAGTAGATGGCAACTGGTTTACTAGTCATCGATGTTTGGTGGATTCTGACCCCTCGTGAACAGAAGGACACAGGACAACTGTACCAGTGGGTTTCCTAGGCTGTATATCTTGACCAGAGCAGAACACTTTTATAGGGGACGTTGGTGGGTTTAAACTTCTGGCCTTTTGGTTAACAGTACAGCAGGTAACCCACTATACCATCGGGTTACAATAAAAGGTTTCTTTTTATTACAATCATTTTATTAGGGGCTCATACAACTCTTATCACAATCCATACATACATCCATTGTGTAAGGCACATTTGTACATAGATTGCCCTCATCATTCTCAAAACATTTGCTCTCCACTTAAGGCCCTGGCAT